ATCATACCTTTTCTTTTTGGTCTTCCCCTATCTGGTTTGCCTTCATCTCCTCTACAATTTCTTTTTTACCAATAGTGCCTAACTTATATTGATGCCATCACAACTATACCTGGCCGGATAACCTCAGAGAATGTCAATTAGATGGATATAAGGGTTATGCGACGTATCTCCTGGCATGCACAAGAAGCAGAGGTCTGCTGCCCTGGACGTTCTGGAAGTCGTTAGTTGCACTATGGTGGTTTTCTCATTATTAGTGAAACTAATAGTCAAGCATAGTTACATCCTATTTTCAGAAAACCGTTAAACCTTCTGTATGACGATTTGAATTGTGAAAACCTTCTGAAATTAAAGTGAGAGATGGACAAATATCACTGCTAATGGGGGTTGGTCTAGACACCTTCTTTAACGTTGCTATTTTATAAGGGCCTTTTCATAATTGAGGTTCGTATTGGCGCATATTTTCGGCTTTCTACCCATATTTGCTAACTGCGAAGCAATATAAAGGAAGATTGCATAGTCAGAATATGCTGTTGATGTGCAGCAATAATAACAACAAACATCTATATATCAAGCAACACAAGGATGATTAATCAGAGTAGATAGCTGAGTCAATTTGACTCCTTGAAGATGACGTGACAATTGTGATACATCTGATAAGTCCTGCTTAACCAAAGCCAGTAGATGCTTGGTACCTCCTTAAGAAGACATTGAAGCGACGACAACGAATAAAACTTACACGATAGAGCCTCTATTCGCTAGCAAAGAATTAGTGGTTTGTTTACTTTCGCTCCAAACTATATTATTAGTAGAATTTACAAACAAGAATAAAATTGTTATAGATATTAACCCAAGACCTAAAGACTTAAATGTTTAATTACTATATTGGCAATATAAAGAATTACTAAAAGAGTAATTTGAGTTGGTCAAGTTTGCTGAGCTGTGGTTTTCTTTCTTTCTTCGCAGGTTATATATTGGACACACACTTGTACCCACGTGTCAGGCTTCTTAGTAAGAAACCCATAAGCCATGTTTCATTCCCGCCATGATACCTAGCAGCTCCAATAGGATCAACTCGTTGCTATAGAGGCAGTGTACGGATGCGAGAAGTAGGGAAACAGCTTGGCTTCTACGTGACGAACTATGGATAGAGACTGGGTTAGACTCATAGTTATACTCTAGTTACTAGATCTAGTTATATTCTCTCTGTTTTTGTTGGGCGATCTTATGAATACCTAAGTAGTGTTATATTTCAGTACTACTAGAAAAGTTAAATAACTTGTTAGAACTTTAAATGAGATTTTTAGGGTTATCCTGGAAAGACGAGTGGTCAGTGATGCATAATAATACCGGCATGATTATAGACTACATGATATATAGTAATAATCATATAAACTATTCATGTTAATACTAATGAGGCTCTGTGTATTAAGTATAATATAGGTCAGGTTATATAGTTATTTTTCTTCATATCACTCAGTCACAGTTGTTAATGATCGTCGACTCCACACCAAGATACTCATATTGTACACGAGGTATATGAATTATAAGCGCTATTTCATATTAAATACCCCTGCGCTCTTCTGAAAGCATCTTTACAAGAAGTGACCGCGAATCTCGTAGATCCCTAGCTCCTAGTACCAAAGCCCTCACGCATGTAATAGATGATTCCTCCTTTTGTTCTCAGGGCAATGAGGGTTTTCACCAATCACCCTAGTGTTGGGCTAAGCGTCTTGGTACCAAGGAGCAAATCACATCTTCCAACTCAAATTTTCTGTATTTCTGTTCGTTTGGCAACCTGATCTCCCAATAGAAGGATCCGTCCCTCTGGTTGTACGCCATCCTAGCTTCGAACTCGGGGGTATCTTGTCTCACAGCCTTAGAAACTTTGATATTCTCCTAAAATACTATGAATCATGGGTTTGTTTTCTTAGCAAAGGAAACTCACCTCGTCTTCCATGGGCGATAGCGTTGTGGGAGAACCATTACGATCAGGTATTGGTTTTGGCTTTTTATCCATTCTTAACGAGTATCGTATCTAATATTACACAGTTGTCAGCGAAATATAAGCCAGGTTTCTGAAGAAATAAAAGGGTAGGCGTTTATATACTTCACTAATCTAGAGGAATAGATAACCAGAAGTATGCTCTATTGCCGACCTAGGTACGTATTGTTCAAGTTACGGTAAAATGTTGTTCGACCAGATCGTAAATATCTATGATCATAGAGTAGAAGAAAATCTCCTCTGAGTGGTCTAGAGTTCTTATATGAATAAAAACCCTCCTATCAGCATGGACTCATACCTTGAGTAGGTATTCTACTCATACTGAATCACTTGTTACATTTGTAATCACAAATAATATTAGTTTGCCAAATATGATGACAGGAAACTACAAGTAAAATAGCCATGAAATACAGTCGAAATAGGCATCTCTTCGTGGTTGATAATCACTGAGCTATCTCAGGTAGGTAGGTGGCCACGCACAATCCGTTGGTGATTTGTCATCTTTTCTCATGAGGCACCCTTTGTTCTAGATAATATCCTTTCCGTAATATGACGCGTTAGCTTGCTATCATATAATAGTGACTCACAACCTCATAACCTTTTCGATCAACTATTTACCTAATCGCCTAGAGACCTGGCCAATGAAACCCCCATCATATAATGATACTTACGATGTAGAGTATGTCATTTTGTAGACTACGTACAAGTAAACTTTAGTAAGTTATCGGCACGAATATCGGGTTTACTGCTTAACTCTACCGGCCCTACGTAGAGGAACTAGAGACTTATTTGCTAATAAAGTCCAAGGTCACTTAATAATAGTCTGATGAAAATGGCCTCAAGAACGATTTGATAGCACTGCAAGATTACATACTGGTATGTATTAATACAACGACTATAGAATGCACTTGACATCGTAGTAATTCGCAACCCTTCTTCAACCGTACGATTTAATTCCACTAAACAACGAATAACATATCGATAACATACTTTTCCAGCAGTATATCATGGAAGGCAAGCAAGTGTACACAAGCAAGTGTATAAGGAGCAGTCTCGATATTTCATAGATTTCTAGAATATTCATGCCCCCCCTCCTTTGTTGCTGTTCTGAAGTGTTTGACTTATAAATGCAGTAAGTAAGTCAAAGCACCCTTACGGGGGCCACCCTAATGGGGGCCACTTTAAATTTTTAAACCTTTAAAATAAGCATTTTAATTTTAATTTAACGTTATTTAATTAAATTTAATTTAATTAATTTATAATTTATTATATTTTAACAACAATATAGTCTTTTGTTATTGATTTAATTAATAAGGCTTTATTTTTTAAATTAGTGTTAAAATTGTTGATTATAATTATACCATTTAATTCTTAGGCCTTTAATTACTTTTTTTCTTTTATAATAGCCTTAATATTTATAAATATTAAATTTGGGTTAGGTAATATTTTACGCCGTTTTTACGGTTTTGTATTTACTAATACTTTTTTTAAATATTTAGCGTAAGTTTTTGTTATGGTTAATTTTATAATAGTTTTATTAAAACCTTACCGATTTTATTGAATAAAAGTTTTGTTACAGGTTTAATAAACGTTATATTGATCTTAAATAATTTTTTAATTAAAATATTAATATCTTATAAATTTAAAAGTGTTATTAAAAGGATTAGGGTTATATTTTTGATAAAATTAAGTTTTTTTGGGTTAGAAATAAGGTTTGGGGGGGTTGGGGTAGTACCGAAAGCTTTTTAAAGCATAAGCCGATAATTTAATAACTTATTCCGATCTTTAAGATAGATCTCCGTAACTTTTTAATTAGCTAATATATTATATTTGATTAGACGTTTTTTTTGTGTTATTTAATAAGTTATAATAAATTTTCTTTTATCGAGATTAAAAATATAATATAACTAACATATTTTAATAAATTTACAACGATAATTTTGTTTTATTAATAAAAATATACCTACATTAATAACTTATAAAACGTACAATAAGTGTACCGGGATGAAGATAATATAAATTTTATTTATAAAGCATTTTTAAAGGAATTTTATTATGGTATGGTTACCGTAGTTATTAAAAATTAATAATTATTATTATTAATAATTTAATAGTTTTATTTTTTTTAAAAAAATTTTACAAAATTATTTAAATGTAATATTATTATTAATTTAATTATTAAAAGATATAATAAATTTTTAACTTTTAAATTTAACGTTTTTATTATTAAGAAATTATTATTATTATATATATTTATTTATATATATAATAAAGGGATTTAAAGATTAGTTATTACTATTAACGTATTTAATAATTAACGTTTAAGTTTTATTATTATAGTCTTTAATTACGATATATTTTTTATAAACTTTATTAATAATTATTTTATTATCCCTAACCCTTTCTATAATCTCCATTTTGTTAATGTTATATATATACCTAGCCGGGATATTCTTAATTTTAAAAATTTCGAGTTGGTTAAAAAAAATATTAATATTATTAACTATAATTTTATTAATTTGTTTATAATTGATTAAATAAGCTTTAGCCGATTTAATATTAAAATAACAAAATAAAAATTATATATATTAATATTTATTAAGGATATTAAACCGGTGATTATAAGTTAATAATCTTCTTGTAATATTTTTAAATTAATATAAAAGAAGCGTATAATTAATACAGTTTAACGTAACAGCTTAATCGGTTAATTTTTTTTTTTAATATTTTAATAGCTTTTAACGTTTTTTTAAATAATTATTTTATGTTTTACAATTTAATATTTAGTTTGTAAGGTAGTATTGTAATATAAGGTATTTTTTAAACGCTTGCCGCAGGGATATGCCGTTGAAAACGTTATTTATTACTATAGCATAATATAATTAAGCTGAAAAAATAAGTATTTTAAAATTGTAAAAAGATAAAGATTTAAATAATAAGTTTTATTTTTTAATTAATTAAAAATTAATAAAATTATATAATAATTTATATATAGACCTTATTGCAAACGCGTTGCGTTTTTGAGATGGCCCCCACTAGGGTGGCCCCTGTAAGGGTGCTTTAACTTATAGCCATATACCTGTATTTCTATTAGTTATATCCAAGATTTCTACAATCATCTAACTAGGGGAAATAAAGTGAACTTAATACTGACCCTGCAGAGTATGCAAACAACTCTTGTCTTTTTGGTCGGGTTACATAACTGAGAGAACAAGTGAAGATACATGTAGACCCAAGTTGAATGAATATGATACCCACTATGGTTGAAGTAGTCATTTCGCCTTGGCATAAGCGATATAGGGGATAGATCGGGCATACGAGAACCACAATAAGTGTAAAGACCAGAATGATTTCTATAGCGGCATTGAATTTGGTTTTGCTAATGAATACTGGATCATTCTGGTGGGTGCTGTCCTAGTAAATGTGTTAGAGATTTTGCAAAGTTATTCGAGTTAGGATCTCGAACATACTTCGTACTTGAAAATTTTCTACGCGCGAAAAGTGTTAGCTTTCAATGTAATAGATTCTTTGCCTTTTCCCTATTTATTTCGCTCTGTGGCAGACATATTTACCTCGATCAGCTTATTAGGTTTGTAGAAGATGAGCTTCGTAAGGAGCCCATCCACTCGTGCCGTGTCTTCCTGTGAGTTCAGTGATACGAGATCCTCATTGTACAGGTAGTACTTCTTTTTCTCGTTGGCGAATGGGGCATGTACGTTAGAAAGGGCCCCCAAGTTTTTGATGTCCGTCTCGGAGGGATCTTGCTGGAGATGAGGAGAAGAAGCATAATCCATCATTATCTCTGGTTTCATACTGGTTAGGCCTGGTGTTGTATGCACAGCATATCCTATTATAGCTTACTGTATCTCTTCAATGTCTCTTCAATATTTCTGAGTAGGTCCATTTTCTGGATCGACGGCAGACTGTTGGCACCCTCACTATGGCTCTCTCTGTCGCGTTTCTCAAGATCTTCTTCGTACCCTTGTAGCTTGTCCTGAAGATCTAGTAGCACCCTCGCATGCAAGTACCCGAATTGGCGGATGATTAAGTAGTCTCTATTCGAAGCAACTATTGCGGCAAGTCGCGGGTAGCCTCGTGGATAACTCTTAACTAGATAGGAAACCCATTTAACAAGTGTACCATGTATAGGGATCTCGTCAACTCACTGCTCCTGTTGATATAGTGTGGTATATCGGACTGAGAGTCTTCGGTGCTACTATTGAATAAGCCACCGAGACTTTTCTTCACCATAGCATAAGCTCTATTCCTGATCCCAGAAGGGGTGATATCGCTAGTGTTTGCACCTTGAACCTGATGTTAAGCCTTTCCGACTAAATAACCCAAAACAGTTCACTACCTATCAACTAGAGTGGCTTTAGAGAGGCTAGGCATATGTTTCAAAACACTGCGGAGAATGATTGCTATGCTTGAGTGGCATTATTATAGGACATACCGTGATCTGAATTGGCGGCATTGTAGGTGCCGGGTTGGCTTTCAAGATAGGAAATGCTTTCCATGGTTCTGTTCAAAGTTCTGTTGGGCTGAATTGTGAGGCCGTTACGAGTTTCATGTCCACCTAAGCCTCCGGATTTTAAATCCATATGGAGACAGGAAGTAATTTATATTCGACTTGGGGGGTCTCAACTCTAGAAATTGCGGCTATATTACTCGGGCAAAGCCTCGAAAACTTCTCCGCTCACCAAAAATGCAACTAGCCTGTGTGCAGCGAACCTCCCGATGCCTATGCTGTCTACCGAGTATCTGTCGTACGAAATACCTTAATGTATGACAAGATACCATAGATAGTACATAATACCCAGGGATTAGAAGCTTCAGGCATCATTGTACGGATCGTATCTAGGTAAACAATAGTAGATATAGTAGGTAGATAAACTGCGTTCCCTTTCTCCCTTTTATTTGTATTTTTTACAATGGCATTATCAAAAACTCCGATGATAGGCTGATGTCGTGGTTTCTATATTGCTAGTCTTCCTTTCACGCGGGGACCTGTCCAAATCTATACTGACCCCACGCCAAACAACCCTCGTGCAATGTCCATGTCCTCTTTCCCTCGTCATCACCAGCCGCACCAGCTGTTACATATACCGGCATTAAGTGATCGAACCGCTGAGAATGATTAGCCAGACCCCTTATAGTTTATGATTCTTTGAACTCACCGGATGGGCTTGTCTAGCGTCCGGCCGCTTGGCAACGTCTTTCATACGGGCCCATCGCTCATTTGGCGGGGACTCAACGGCGTCTTTCAAAGCCTCGTCAAAGGATACTGTATAAGGCAGCGGCCTCCGGTCACCCCAAGTTTTGGACAAGTCCCTAAGATTATGCACAGACATTCCTGCGCCGATGATAACAATGTTCTCATCACGCAGAGAGGCAACGGCTTGCCCCAGTTGATAGTGCATGTCCACGTTCTGGTTGGCGTATAAGCTTACTTGAACCAAGGGAACATTAAGGGGGTTTTCTTCGGGGTGGAAGGCTTCGGAATGTCAGCGGAAATAAGACAAATGGCATATGAATAAGCGTAGCTGAGAAGTAGAGCCATACCGACATTGAATCCCGACCACACTCCATGGTCAAGTCCTCTAGTCACGCCTTTGGCCTTTATACCGGCTTTCGTTAAGAGATCAATGACCTTGGAGGCTAATTCGGGGCTTCCCCTATTGGGATATTGCGCCTTGTAGAACTCGGGCGGGAATCCATAGAAGCTACCCAGACTCATCAGCATCGGTTGAACGAAGAACTCCATTAGGTACAAACGCACTCATAAATCAGGTCTGTGTGCTCAGCAGTGTTGACCTCGATGACATCAGGCTCAGCCTCCCAATGGCCAGAAAAGACGACGACAGCTTTGGGCTTCACTTTCTGAGTAATTTCCTTCCCTATTTTCTGGAGAATTGGATAGGCGGGATGGACCGTGTTGTATTGCACGTCCGGCTGTGTCCAAGTTAGATTAATGAATTTAAGTCTGGTCAAATTCGCAAGAACTCACGCCGCCATGGCTGAAGAAGTAAACCGGGGTCTTATTAGTCGTCATTGGTGGCGAGTTTGAGTTTGTTGATGTTTGATATTGGGCTATGATGGAGGAAACGGGTTTCCAGACGGAAAGGGGCAGGATGGCGCGAGATAGTGATGATGATGAGAATAAGAAAGCCACAGCTACGACAAGTAAGGATACAATTAGAATTGTTCTGGTAATTAACCCAGGGGAAGCCATTGGCATGAAAAGTTAACGACTATATAGAAAAAAGGATGGGAAGCTGTTGAAAACCATTTGTAATCCGCCCCCCTGCCGTAGGTGCACTAAGAAGTCCCAGTGTAAGTCACTAGGTTAGGTTAAGGAGAAGCTGTATTGAGTCTATTGACCGATTCTTCAGCAATTACCAAGGATCAGTCAGCATACCCCCTAGCGTTGAGTTTCAGCCGCTATTTAGCTATGGCGCTAGGTACCGTAGTGGGCCGTTGCATTACCTAGCTTAGGCGATACATGAGGTAATCGTCTGCATCCCTGGCTGTTTTGTTACGGATAGCAGCAGCCAATTAAGGCAGGAATTACAAACCATATTGTACCTACCTTATGTACTATGGATGTAACACAGATGGCGGAACAACCCCAACTACCCCCCACCAAGTTGAAGTCTTCCAATGCGTAACAGGAAAGAACAAAAACTACAACTAAAATCAACCATCACGTAACTCATTCCTTTTAACCTAACTCATTACCTTTGGCCTCAATCCCTACCTGCTTAGTTCATTTTCCGTCTAGCGGATGCTCACCTTCCTTATCGCGGATAAAACAATCTTTTCGTTCATAGTATTATTGTTGTCTTTCTTAACGACCACATTTGCCAAACCGAATTCCGATCCCACTATGGCGATGCGCCGAGCTCCACCGTTGCTATTCCCAGCTGCCGCCAAGCACACAGCTACCGTCATTTTCATCCACGGATTGGGTGATAACGGGTACGGATGGGCATCGGCAGTAGAGAACTGGAGACGGAGACAGAGATTGGATGAGGTCAAATTCATCCTGCCCCATGCCCCGCGCATCCCGGTTACGGCTGTAAGTTACTCTCACTAGAGGTTGAGATGCGTCAGTGGGACTCATCGTAACTGGATAGTCGGGCGGAATGTCTATGCCTGGGTGGTACGATATCGTAAGTGGCCTTCTTCCTCCTTATATGTCCGCTGTCGTGTCTAACCATTACCCAAGTTTGCACTCACTGGCAAAATAGACGATATCAAAAGGCATCAAGATGAGAATGGTATCATGCAGAGTAGAGAGTACTTCCACGGGCTGATCCAAGCCGAGATCGACTCTGGGATACTCCCTAGCCGCATCGTACTCGGCGGCTTCTCACAAGGCGCTGCTATGTCCCTCTTTTCTGGCTTGACGGCCAAGTTCAAGTTGGCCGGCATAGTCTCACTTTCGGGCTACCTACCCTTAGACTCAAAGCTTGACGATCTTCTCAAAGAGGACGATCACAACCATCAAACACCAATCTTAATGTGTCATGGAGATGAGGATGCAGTCGTACCGACGAACTTGGGCAAGATGTCTTACGAATCGCTGAAGAGCCGTGGTTTCGATGTGACGATGAAGATATATCCGTGAGCAGCTCATTTTTTTATCCCTCATTGCGGATATTCTCTTACATTTGACATTTAACTGATTAAAAATAGGGGGCTGCCTCATTCGGCCTGTATAGAGGAACTCGACGAGGTTGAGGCTTTCTTGAAGGCTCGTCTCCCGCCTCAAGACAACAAGACGGAACTGTAAAATCGATAAAACTGGGGAAGTGGATATTCAATGCGATAGAGACTATTACGGCACTAATTCTACGAGGTGGTTCGCAATGACGTGCAAGTATAGATGGTGTCCGTTGCGTATTGGACGATAGAGACGCCTTACAGTGCAAATCAGACTAATTGGAGGCCATAGTATGAATATAAATATGATTGGACGACGGCCTGATTTACTACTTAGACGTCAGACTCGAGATACATGTATGGGAGGTAGGTAGTCGGCAGGTTATGGAGGGATATGTTAGAATTCTTAGCCAAATTTACAAAATTCATCATAAAGCTTCAATGCACATATATAATTCGGGTTGAATTAAACATATATGTGTAAAACCAGGTAAATAACCATTGATAAATTCGCGAGATCGTCGGTGGGACATCAGGTGCGCGGAGTTATACGTTAGGTACCTGTCTTGATAGGGGGAATGGTGGTGCCTTATCTTATCGCATAGTTGGAGGTGGTGGAGTCGGAATCACAAGATGGCGGCATAACGGCGTAAGTTTAACTACCTACCTACCTAACATAGGGGCAGCAAAGATAGGTGGTAGGTACCTTACCTTACCTAACCCAAGCTTTTATTTAACAAAGTTCCAAAGTTCCAAACTTACAAGATTCCAAAACAAGATTCATTCTTCCATCGAGTTGTTCAACTTCGTCTCTAGATTATTCTGTACATCTTGTGGCCTCCGCCCTTAACAATTCTCCTAATCTTTCCTACTTATATAACGGTTTAACTATAGGTAGACTACACACGTTTGTAGCTACATGGATACCGATGTTGGATTATGTCGTCTCTTCCGCGATTAGCCCGATAATTAATCATTACCTAGGTATTAATTATTATCTGCTGCTACTCTAGCCCGAATCCGCACCAACCGTTGCTACGCTATCGGATCGTTTTGAGCCTAGGATTATTATCCAGGTAGACACGGCAGAAGTAAACAAGCTCCCCGCCAACCAAAACCATCATACCGATATTAAAAGAGAGGAGGCTCTTGGGGCGAAAACAACAATGCCGTCAGCAGCACGAGCACCAACATCTGGTAGGCCGCCGTCGCCATCTCCCTCTCAAGTCCCTCTTCCCGCGTCGCCAACATACTCGTATGCCTCCACAGCCAATCCGCTCTCTCAATATAACCTACCACTCCCGCCTCCGCCCCGTCCAGCCCACGCCGTCCTCTCTAAGAACGACCTCGAGCAATCCCAGCTAGCATACTCGGACTTGCTAGCTACAGCCAAGTCGTACCGCATCGCGCTCGCATCCCTCTCTACCGCCGCCTCCGCATTCGGTTCCGCCCTCGAGTCCTGCGCGAGGCTAAAAGAAGCCCGAGCCGATACTCTCGGCCCTCCTAGCGGTACTAGCCTAACCAATAGTTTTACCACAAAGGGATCATGCACCGCAGAGCTACTATTAAGCGCAAGTGGCGTGCACCACTTAATTGCAAACCACCAGCAGATCTTAAGTGAGACAGTATACAAATCGTTCGAGGTGCCGCTACTACACGAGTTAGATCAGTGGCGGCGTAATATCGAGGACGAGGATGAGACGTACAAACGCGAAGTTGCCGCGCGCAGCCGCGAGATCCGCCGCCTAGAGAAGGAAGGGTTGAAGCTGCACCGCCAGAGTCGCCGTCGAGATGTGGCCAAGTTCCGCGAGCACCTGGTTACCCTAACTAGTAAACTTGACGGCCTAACAGGATTGCATGCTGACCACGCCCGTACCCTACTACGCGACTCACAGGAGGCTTCAGCTAAGATTCTCGATGCAAGCTGTTCGCTCGTGCGTGCCGAAGTCGACATTTTCGAGGGCTTGGCGCGGAAAGGGTGGACAGGTGGTGGGCTTGAGGATTTGCTAGAGCAGGGCCAGGACTTGTTTGCAAGCGACGAGGATGGGCTGCCGGGGGGCGCAACGGCGGGGGGAGTCTCAATTATGGCGGCTAACAGTGCCGTCGGAGAAGGAGGGGCGAAGCTGTTTAGTATACTCCCGCCCAAAAGCATCCTAGCCAACGACGCGGCCTCGACATCTGTCTCGGATTCTGTACTAACAGCACGTGCGGGTGGGCGCGCCGATAGCTTAGTAGTCGATCCAGAGGAAGACCAGTTTCAAAGCTTAACAGGGGTCGTGGAACAGCCGCAAGACCGCAGGAGAGATAGAGAAGACACAGAGAGCATATTCTCAGAGTCCAACATGAGCCGGGGGTTAAGGCCGTTTAGTCCACAGCCTATCCGCCGGCGAACTGCGGACGTAGTTATGGATCCGGAGGAGCTATTATTTGGCGGCGGCGGCGAGGAAGAAGTTAACAACGACCTCGTATCGGATGTGGACGATGATGACGGGTATGACGCTGCGACAGTTAGAGGCGCCAGTAGCTCCCCGGGCCGAGCGCTGGAAATGGAACTAGGAGAGGGAGATTCAGGGCTGCAAGATGACGAGGATGAGCTAAACGAGGACACTACGTTACAATGGAGAGACGACGGAACGCGGCAGAGACAAGTCAGCAGTGGTAGTGACCCCGTGTTGTTACCTTCCCCGCCGCCAGCGGGGAAGAATAAGGTAGACGATGGAGAGATAGATAGGCAGTTTGCTTGATTATAGTTACATAGCACAAAGTGCACATACCCCCGTACTGGTATGAGGAGGGGTGCTACACAAGGACGAGGAGACGGAAAGGGTGCCTAACCTATAGGATAGGATGGTTCTAACAGCGGTTACGGCGGCGAAATATTGATTGATTGAGTACTGTATTAAATTTCACGGCACATGAATAGATGAACGGAGTCATATCTTCGACATTAGAATGGCATCTCCCGCTTTGTATCTTCGCTTCCTGGCTATCTAATATTGCAGTAGTACAGCCAGCATTTGGTCTGCGTCTCGAGTATTACATACATACATGTTGGTAGTTTCACAGCTGTATATGTATAACATTACACTCAGCCAACATTCATACGAAAGGGAGCAAACGCAATATGGCTTGGAATCCATTGTTGTTCCCATTGGTCTCGAGTAACCTATGTAATTCATCGTACACGAAAAAGAAAAGAAAAGCAAACTCCTCGTGGTAACTATGCGCAGTATGCCGCTAACCCAGCCCCATGCCCCTATCCACGTCCAGCTCGTCTATAGTAATAATAACGAGATCAAGCATAGCAAAGCTCCTATTCTTCACTTTACCATCTGTCTTTGGGCATTTTATCGTAGGGCTTTCCGAATGATGTGATCCTCAACTCCAGGGGGCGTATTACCAAAACCCGCTTTGCCCTCATGTCCCTACTTTTCATAGCATTACGAAGTATAAAAAAATTGATGATGCAAGTTGGTATGTGTATAAAGTGTCTTAGTCTTCCTTGTCGCCACTAACGAGCTCGCGGCCGAAGAGACCGAACCAGAGATCCAAGTAAAACATCAGCTGCCAGTACAAACTAGCTTTGTTGAAGTCAAACTCGCCGAGCTCGTTACGGGGCACCTCGTTTCCGATCATTGAGCCTCCAAACCATCCTATCAGTGGAATGTAGATTAGCAGCTTTTGCTGCCAGGTCAGTTGAGGAGCTAGGGCTTGGTCGGCCGGCAGGATTCTAGCCCGCTTGGCCTCTGGAATGCGCCGGCAATACGTGTTGTCCACTGGCTCTATATTCTGCGGTTCTGAGACTGCACCCGTCACCGTTGCTGTCGATGCCGTGGTGGTATCCATAGTCTGGGTCGAGCCTTGCGATCCTGGGGGAGAGTCGTGAAGGTTTGTAGTCCGCTCTACCGTCTGTGTTAAGAGAGTCCTAGGGAATGTCGCGCCCTTATCTATACGGGGCTGCGATGGTCTCTTCGGCACGCTTTTGAAGGTGTTAGACCTAAACAGATCAACCATGCCACTATCACCGACCACATCGGGCACTGCAGCATCTTCCTTAGGGGGCAGGCCACGGTAGGGTTCGGCGTAGACAAGATGACCTAATATATTCTGCGGAGAAGCGTACGTTGCGGCTTCTGCTGCCTCCGATGACTCGAACGTAATCTTCACCCAGTGTTCACCACTGGCCACCCTGCTAACCTTAGCCCGCTCAGGGGCTGATAAGGGTTGTCGCCTCGTAAGCGCGGGATCCCTCAAGTCTGACTTGTAGCGTCGCGCCTCGGCCGGTGGCTCTCTGGAGTAGTCCTCGCATATCCTCCCTGCCAGCTGCTCGTAATGGTTAATAGCCGCATACTGCTGTGATGGCGATGAGTAACCTCTCAGGATAACCTCGACAGGCTCCTTGCGATACGTCGAAGCCTGGGTAGCAGAAGCAGAATCTTCTTGCGACTGCGCAGCGGTCTGTCCTAGATAGCTAGTCTTTCGTTGCGTCGCAGCGGTAGTCGTTGTCGTCGATGTCGTGGCGTTAGGGGCTTGCTGTCGGCTTGCTATGTAATTCGAAAAGATTTTATCGGCGTTATGCATCGTAGCATCTTCACGTTTCGGCGGTGCGCTCCCCGTTCTAGAGCGAGATCGTCTAGTCGATTTACCAAAGGAACCCGACTCTGTCACCTCTCGCGCACGCGTACGTGGGAGGGTACGTTGTCGTTCACCTCTGTCATCGGGCATAGTGGTAAGCAGACTTGATTCAAGGTGACGGTTTCTTTCAAGGGGAGGAACTGTTGCATACTCAGGGAAATACATAGCATATGGACGCTGAATCCCATCCTCTCCAGTATAGAGTTCCTCGTCCGGGACGTTATGCAGGATCAATGGCCTCATTGTCCTCTTCGGTTATTTGGTGAATGGAAATTCGAGGAATGAGATACAATGTTTAGGACACACAAGGTGGATAGGCAAACACGGATACCTAATCAAGGATGGATTCTCGGATTGCAAAAGGCACAAACTGGTGGGTGGTTACGAGAGATGGGTTGAAATGATTGGAAGGAGATTTAATTAAATTCGGATGTTGCTGGCAACTTAATGCTGAGATGTCACCAAGAAAAAAATCGTAGCTGCAACGCGCTTCCAAATATGTAGGTAATACATACCTATGTACTATGTATACTATGTATGTACCTAAGCTGTGTACATATTATGGAAACCGCCATACCCACCCAGCAACGGGCCTATGAGGTACGTACAGTACTTAGGTACCTAACACTATGTACATAGGTACTAATGTATCTGGATGTAACTTCCCCAACCCTTCAGATAAAAACTGCGCACAGGCCAGATTCGAACTTAGCTTCCAATGTACTAAAATCTCTAAGGGGACTAGCGTAGATTAATAAAAATACCGAACCAACTTTGTTCCTGAGCTGCATGTGGCTTGACAGGCAATTGATACATAGGGCCGACGTCACCGAATTCCCGGAAGCTATCGCAGCTTCCAACGCCAAGTCGAAAGCTGTCCCAAAAAAGTAAATTCAACTACATCGCCGGCTTCAGACACAACTTCCTCTTCTTTGATCTTACATCCTATTTAGTTGATTCACAAGTAAGCTACAAGAAACCTCAGTTACAATGTTCCGCTTTGTAAGTTCCAATTGAAGTTCCGAGCTAATGAGTAATGAATGTTAATGCGTGAATAGCATAAAACTCTTGATATCGTCACCCTCTTCCACAAGGCAGGCTCACCGGCCTCCACAAGAGCGGCAACTCTCCTAAAGCAGATTTCAGCCAATGCCACGGAGACAGCAACTGAAGATCAAGCCAGTGATCATTCTCACCAGACGCATCCCAAGCGCTCGCGTCAGGAGTTTGAACTGAACATCACTGAGGAGCCTCCTACCGTCGACCAACTCAAGACTATTCTAGAGTACGTCGGCAAAAAGAAGATCGGCTCTATCGTGCAAGGCGCGTCGACAGAGAATGAGGCCATGAAGAAGTTCAGAGAGAACAAGGAGAACTTCAACCGGCCTGTGGTATGTCTCCTTTTCTTTACCTACTCATAATCACACCCCTTTCCCCTATTTTTGTAAGTAACATGCTAACTCTAAAGCAGATTGTCGACTGGAACAATGGAAAGGCTGTTGCTAGCGATCAGGAGTCAGAGATACTGAAGATGATAGAGCAAGAGAGTAGCAAGGAGTAATTCCCAAACATTGTACATAACACAAGTAATCATATGTCTTGTGTTGGTATTGGCTAGGCTCTATGGACCCTTTGCCAGCTTCATTAATACTCAGTCATAGTTCTAGCCTGTTATAATTAGTTCTCTAGCTAGCTAGAGAAAGGGGCATCTAATTTAGATGGCCATATACAAACTCTACTCCCATACTCCGCACTTTTCCCCTTGTTCCTATGGTGGCTTGCTTGTGAATGTATAGAATCACCTCTCCTATCCATGTACACAGTTATATATGCCCCTTATTTTGAAATTTACCTATGTTCCAAGTAGGATTTTTAAATCCCAGATGAAGAATAAACCCATGTCCCATTATTAACTCTGATAGTCAAATATATTGTGCCAAAATAGATCATAGAACAATTACTAGTAATCCTTACTTGAATTCATCACATATTCCGCTATTGGTCATTCTTTAGGGCTCTACCAGAAATATCAGGGGAAGACAGCTGTGTATCCAAAATCTGAAAAGGGGGAATCGCCCCTACCTAATCACAGACTTAAGCTGCTAAGCCATTGATCAGAGTCACAGTCCGGGTACATACCTTACATGTAAGTAGATAAGTGACTACCTACCTATGTACAAGCAACTTAGGCTTCAGGAACGAGTACCCAGGTACCCAGTGTAGTATGTTGATAGGTAGTTGCCCAGTCGTAAAAGTAAAAATTCTCTTCCGTATGCAGGTCCGTGCCCATGTCCGTGCACAAAATATCATCGTGAATGTGCTCACATTTACCAAGCACGAGCCATCAACTGCCCGTTGCAACAGCCGCAACTGCTAGTTACGACCCAACACCTTCCGTTGTAATGGCGAAGTGTCTCACGAGAACATCAGATCTAAGGCATTTGTTTGTCAAAATAGCTTACTTGTTAAGGAAGTAACGGCGCTAAGACGCGTTTATGACTATTTGTTGAGGACTTTCTCCTGAGCAACAAGTCGGTCGTAACCCTCCAAAGTTCTTCGACGTGCCTTCCGTCGATTCTCTTTCTTTCTTCACATTCACATTCGCGGCTCTATATAAACAGTACCCTTCCCAACAAGGAATCCATTCTGATTCTTTTCCTTCTTCATTATCCTACTTCAACCCTACTCTCCTCAACACAAAGTTGGATTCAATTAATCCTCTTCTTCACATATCAAACCTTTACCTTACATTAACTACCTTGTTACTATCCTACCTTACTATCCTATCATCCACTTCCTTTCAACATTACATTAACATTAACAATAAACAACCCTACCCTAACACCTACCTATCTATCCTAAACCCTCTTAATCCCCATATTCTAATGCTTCACGGGGCACATACAACATTCTGGCCCCCATATTCAAATGCTTCATGGGGCATATACAACATTTTAACCCCCATAGTCTGATGCTTCAGGGGGGCACGTACAACACTGTAAGCCTCATACTCTGATGCTTCAAGGGGAACATACATCTATTGGTCTACAACTTCCCCCATAACTACCTACTCTTAAGCCTAATTGTCGGCTGCTTTATTTCTTCTAAAAAGAAGTCAGCTTCAAGGAACTCAAGACCCAAAGGATGGTTATATCAAAACATGTCACCAACTACCTATAACTGGTTTTAATAATCCCGACCGGTAAGTAACTGCCCTTCTCTATATTCACTACCAATAGCTATTACACCTACACAATCTTACCCTTACACCATTACCCTTAACTTATACTTTTTTTACATGGTCGCGCTAACAAGTATTCAAAGCACCTAGGGGCATACAGACTGATGCAGCGGTTCCCAATAATAAAGCTCAAAGCACAAGTGCTGCAACGGAGCGGCAAAATAAGTCAAAAATGAGGTAGTAATAGCAACAATAGGACCTGGTGCCGGTGGGGTCTCACAAAATTTATTCTTGAGACAACATTCGGTTAACATTCAGAACAACTAAACTATCATGACTCGAAGCTGTCTGCAAGGAGGAATGTCTTAAATAATACGCCAACAACAACACCAAATCCCAGCTGGTCAGTGTATGGCTGGTGATAGTTATTCCTCTCTCACCTTAACTCTGGCATTCAGGCTTTCCAAAGCCATCAATGGCGGGGTAAAGACTACTGGATAACCCTAATGACGGTGGAAGCAATCCTACTACTGATAAAATTAATACGACTACCTACCTATTATCATAACAACACTGCAATAAGCCTAAACTTGGGATCCCTTACCGCCTCATCCTTCATGACACACAATCCCCAACTCCACCCCAAAGACATGCCGTTAAACTAAAAATTGAGATGACTATGTCTAATACATAGGAATATACGGGAGATACCGAACGTGGAGCATTGTCAAATACTGCTCATACGGCATGGTATTCATGGCATACTATATTTCTGGCGCCAGTCCTATCCTTTCCGCTCAAGGTTTGCCTCTACGACCAATGGTCGTTCTGGTCTTGCCAATCCAAGCTACTCTGCCAGATACACGACTTTGGGGATCTTGCTATTGCTGGTCAATCTACGAGCCCTGTCGGTGTGGGTGGGAGAAGGCGCGGTTCCACGCAGCAAACACACCATCGACGCACCTACAGCATACCCTTTCGCCCACATCGCTTCGCCCCGACAGGACATCTTTTCGCCGACATGGCTTGATACCAACCCTAACTCTAATTCCAATTCCGACTTTAAAGATAACTATCTCCTACAGGCCACATATACTAAAGGGTCTATATTAATTATCCATAACACAAGCTCGGACTCAGACCCGGACCCTGGTGAAGAATAATCCTTCTAATTAAAAATGCGCCAGGGGGGTCGGGCTGGGGGTGGTACCAAACCGGAAACACATTAATCCTTCTGATTCCAACCACCTAAGCCTTCCACCAAATCGAGAATATTAGGACAGGCATATTGAAACACTGTCTCACTGGGAACATGCTGGGCGGCAGCACTTCTCAAGTCTTTTCCGATAAAGGGCTACGCTCAGTCTAGGTACCTTATCGTATCGTGGGACTCAATATAACTATACTCTCTTATTATGAATTATCTGAACCTGTACTGTAGTATCATTAATAATAGGTAGCAAAAACAAAAACAAAAACAAAAACAAGAATTAGAATAAGAGTGCACAAGCAGTTTCTATTTTCGGCAGGGTCTTGTTCTCATTATGGTAACATCTCAAGCAATATGAATAATTACTTTTTTCTCATAACGCCAGCTATAAGTGAAGTGTTCATGTAGTCTCGCTTTTGACCAACTGTGCAACCGTGTCTTCGATTTGCTTATCCGTGAGTCCTGTAGCATCATTGTCAGCACGTACTTCCCTAACATCCACGTGAGTCCATGTAGTACCCTCTAGCGACTGGCTCTTCTCCTTTCCAAACTCTGCAACCGCAACCTATTAGCATTTCCATTGTTTCCGCAGAACCACATAGCGCAGACGAACCATATCTGGCGTAGACCTTGGGTAAGGTGCCGGAAGCTTCTCGTATGAGGATAGGTGTGAATGGATTGTTCTTCTTCATCGTGGGATATGCTCGATTCAGGAATGTCCTATATTGTCAGCTACCTTAGCATCGCGGCATTGCTTCAATTCGCGCTCACCTCGTCGCAGCACTACCCTCTCCAGTGTGGCAGAACAGGAAGCGAACCTCCTTCAGGGCCTTCGTAAAAGCATACTTGCCTGACATATTTGCGATTGGCGCTCGGCGATCGAAGATGGCAGGTCAGATCGGGACGGTAGAGGTTGAGGTTTGCTTGGTACCTATATGTATAATGATGAAATGTAGAATGATTAATGGGCTGTAGTTCGAAGCCTTAGTCAGCGGGACCGGGGCCGATGAATTGGCGTCGGCAGATGCATAAAAAAAATACCTCCGATGCTACCACGCCACTTATGCAAGATTTATGCAAATGCAAGGGGAGCTTGGTAGGTACTAGGTTCCGGATCTATGTATCGATTTCAACGGGTCTAAGTTTAGATACGTATCTTATCTTCGGAACCCCAACCAAAATTATCCCACCTAATACCTATCGGACCTAGGAACCTTTTTTTACAATTCTTTATTCCGACAACAACTCATCAACTCGAAGGTCCCGAGGACGAAGCCGGAAAGCGAGCAGGCTCACGGTATTTTTTTCCCCCTCCCCTTTCTCGCCAGTACCACACGCATTGCCTATTCCTAAGAAGCCTGTCTATCCATCCCTCGTATTTAAACCCACCAATCCCCAGGGAAAACAATGCCAGCCACCACCACCCTCTTCCGCGCCGCCCGGCCCGTGCTCCAGCAGTCTGCGCTGCGCTCGGCCTTCCGCGGCACCTATGCGCCCCAGACTGGCCGCCGCTTTGCGAGTACCGCGACCACCGGGGAGGCAGCTGCCCAGAACTGGTTCCAGCGCATGTGGAACAGCCCCATCGGGTTGAAGACGGTGCATTTCTGGTAAGAGAACCATCCCTTCCGGTTCCGGATCGCCTACGTGTCTGTCCATCTACTACAAGCGCATCCATGTTGACGGCGAGATTTCTCAGGGCGCCGGTGATGAAGTGGGCGATTGTCATCGCAGGTGTCTCCGACTTCGCGCGACCCGCCGAGAAGCTCTCGTTAACGCAGAACGGCGCCCTGACGGCTACCGGCCTCATCTGGACGCGCTGGTGTTTCGTCATCAAGCCCCGCAACGTCCTCCTCGCCACCGTCAACTTCTTCCTCGGCTGCGTCGGCGTCATCCAGGTCGCCCGTATCGTCATGTACCGCCGCTCGCAAAAGAACCTCCCCGCCGCCGCCGCCGCCGCCGAGTCCGCCGTCGCCCAAGCCAAGGAGGCTGTCAAGCCTTGAGAGATAGAGCGGTGGCAGGCGCATAGTGGTGTAATTTTGATACCGAAGTACGGGGGGGCATTATGCATCGGGGAGGGCGGATGGTTGATTGCATGACGGAATGCCAGCCGGCAGACTCGAACGAGTCCGGACTTGAGTGTTTCGCAAAACTTATAGACTGCGGGTTATCGATACTTTGTGGGTTGTCTTGCCTCGAAAACAGGGGCGGTTAGATGATGGATTGGGTACATAGAGTATTCTCTCGTTGATTCTCCTAGGTAGCATAGTAAAGTCGGAAAAGGGGGGGCTTACTTGTACTACCACTTTACTACCTGGTGCATCAGAATTAGTTGAACATGGAAGTTTTCTGTTTTATTTCATGGTTACAGCGTGTGTTGTGTGTTGTGTGTTGTTTTATTAAGTGTTTGCTTAGTATCGACAATGCGTGAAGAGTTCCTGAAGCTTAGGGTTGGCTTAGGGATCAAATGTTAGAAATATCGTACGTCCTTTTTAGTTTTCTACCTACACTTATATTCTTATAATTTAGAATCCCAGTAGTGAGCTTTTTTAGCCAGTTTCTCCCGAGTCAAATTGGATCAACTACAGTCATTCATAACGAATTCAATAAACTTGTCTACTGCATATCATCCTAATACACCCGCTGTCTGTCTCGGCCACTTCAACACACACCAGCTCATATTGATATAATCCTCGAAAGGCTTTATTTTGAACATATACGTCTTCATTTTTAGTGCATGATCATGCAAAATTGCATCTATGCCTTATACCCAGTAAATATCCCCAGACATTAAGAGAATCTGCTCTTAAAGCCAAAAAAAAAAAAAAAATTTTCGACACTACTCCATCTACCTAGCCCGTAGGTATGACTAGTTGATCATTTCTAATATAAAATGCCCCCAGAGATTATCTATATTAACCGGGAGACCTCAAATTTCAGTCCATAACCTCGCTTGAAGTCACGGAGATGCTCGTATGTAACTCTCATTACAGGTTTGCCTAGAAGCTACCCGCAGCAGGTCGTTAAGTCGAGCGTTCCAAGCCAGGGTAAGATGCGATATAAACTTACTATAGGAAGTTGATTAAACACTGCGGCAATGGAGGCAGCGACAGCGGTAAAGGGCGTAGGGCTTCGCATCCATATCCACAATAGTATATTTGTTGTAAGTGGCGCAAGCTTTGTAAAACTCCTTCACTTGGATATAGTCCTTCTCGTGAATACAAAACTCGTCTAGTGTCAAGTCGTCGTTCATGATGGAAAGGGGGTTAGAGTCGCCCCACTGTACGGATGGATAGCTAGTCTCCTTTTCTTGAGCGCGCTCGTGTCTCAATCCTAAGATGTGTCCCAGTTCATGGCAGAAAAGGTTGGTCATCAGGTCATACTGGTCATTCACCTCTATGAAAGCCTGTTCATATACCACCAGTCGCCGCCCAATAGACGCCGTGTTGGGGAAGAAGGCAGTTGCTAGGACATCTCCACCACCCGCTGAGTAGATGAGTTGGAAGACGGCTTCTTCGTGATCCTCAACTCTCTTGAATCGTACACCGAACCGTCCCTTATTCCATTTTTCGACTGCAGCATCCAGGGTTTCGTTAGCCATTCTTGCGTACTCGATGTTAGATCTAAAACTGTGACGATCCACGTTGAATGTGATTTCTGATTTTTGCTTCCATCGGTAAATGGTATCGTCGCGCTTTCCGCGATGGAGGCGGATACTGGTTATGAACGCTGACTCTGTTATACAGGGATATGAAAATGAACCTGCTTCTCTGGTTGGACTAGTTGGACTAGTTGGACTCGGTACGTTCTTCAACACGTCATCAAGCTGCTTCGGGGAGTGATTGATTTGTTGGCTAGGCTCGGCGTTAACCTTGTCGAGATCGATCGCATTGTTTTCAATCTGAATAGCAGCGCTATGTTGAGCGCGAACATCCCGCCCAAGCAAAACTTCATTGCATATACTGAGGTCAAATAACAGACTATCCTGGACTTGTTTACTCTCTGTGACATGCTTCTCGGGACCAACATCCTCGCCATTAGGATGGGTGAGAATTTCACTGACTGGCGTCCGCGGCGTCGAACGACAGTCAGGTCTATCGAGATCCAATGATGATTCATAACTGTAGCTAGGTGTAGTGGATGTTGACCCATCAGCTGTGGCAGACTCGAGCTGTTAATTGAGAGCGATGATTAATTGTATATTCAGGCGAGAAAATCAGGAGATCGTATCTATCTTACTAGGCTCTGGCTACCCGGGCCCCTAACGTTGATATTTCTTTTCTCATCATATGCGACCTCGTTGTTGACCACTATTTGGCCGGGAAAACTCCCGTTGTCTATTGCAATATTGCTACGCCCTTGAATTTCGTTGAAGGCATTGATGGCGCTATGCAAAGAAGAGCAAAGACTACCCTTGATTACTATGTTCAACGATTAGTTACATTCATATAAAAGAAGTATAAGTGTTTGATTTGAATGATGTGACCCTCTGGGGACACTTACTAGCCATAGCGCTTATAAAGAGATACCTGCCCAGCTAAAATACGTGGAAATTCCTCGTATAACTAAGCTTAAAGAAATTTCTAGTAATATTCTTTATGCACCTTATAGATTATAGTTAAGAAAAATCACGCAGAGGGGAGAAAGTAATTTATACCATTGCTCCATTCTTTGGCAAATCTCCTGCCACCAGGAGGGAAGGAATAATAACGTGGTACCTATATTTTCCCAAATCATCTGACAGGTGTGAGCCAGACACCAGACTGCTGGTAAGTGAGCCTGCATAAAAGGTAGTATTAGGTGGTGTGTTCTCACCGTTCCCGCAAGGGCGGCACCTACATAATACATAGCGTCACAAAAAAGGTGCCGATCTTGTAAGCACTAACATACCAACACGCTCACTTTCCTGTCCACATAACTCAGCGAAGCCTTCGAGCATATATTTATAACTAATATTAGAATTAGACTTAAAGTTTATATCATATTGGTATGATTATTTGTATTTTCTCTGCTTGGTATATCTGGAGAGAAGCTTTTACAAAGGTATTCCCCTTGTTAAGCAATTATTTTGACACTGTCACGAGGTGGAACTAAACAGTAGGGAAACAACTACGTTGTTCCGCGAGGAACTCTAATCCAACCTAACTACGAGGGCTTGTCTCTATGCATACTGAACCTGTCCTTTGTTCTAGATGTCTCATCTAGAATTCTGACAGACACTATTTTGCAAGTACATGTGCTATCTACGCAAGCTCGTTGCACCCTAACGGATGCTGCGTTTTAATTAAGAGTTAATCTTTAGATTAGGGATAGCGTTGTAAGGGTTGGAGCAAATAGAAGCTATTTCAGAATCCTAAAAAGGAAACAAATCTTTCAAAATCTTTCGAAATATTATGAAATATTATAAATGTTGAAAAGTATCTTAAAATAAGAGCAAGACACACCTTTTCGGAAATATTTCGGATCAATCCCTATTTCAAGGATCAACGCTTAATTAAAACGCAGCACCCGTTAGGATGAGCTTGCGTAGACAGGACGCTTTCCTGTCAGCCCGCATATACCTGCATAAAAAAATAATGCATTTTGCAGGTAGTCCAGCCCTCGAATGTAGGTAATAGGTCATAAATGATAAGTCGTCAAAGAAAAATAAAGCTTGCGATTTACCCCACGATACCTAACCAAGGATGAGATCATAACCCCTTTCCCCCGCCCCCCCCTTTCTATTATTAAAGGTCGGAGAGGCAGAGTACACAGTATTCTAAGACCAATGTCTGGCCTGGTCTTTAATAGAATAAATCGATCGTTAAAATTTCATAATCACCTAATTAGTTATATATTGTAGTTATATACAGTTAAAGTTTTGTATGTAGACTTTACTATTAATTCCTCGTTTCTTTCTCTGCTATCTAGTTCTTCATCTCTCATTAACTGTCAGGGTATAAGTGGGTTAGGGGTATCTACAGGGGTCTATCTATTATATAAGGGGCGCACAGCCCCCTCGAAAGAGGATAAAAGGCTAGGCGTTACACTGTCAGAGATACCCGTTGATTGATGCCATACACAGAGTGAGTGTCTAGGGTAGGTAGACCAAGTAGTATATATTGTATTGATCTAGTAACGCCTGGCTTTTTATCCTTTTTCGAGGGCGCTGTGCGCCCTTTATATAGTAGATAGACCCCTGTAGATACCCCTAACCTACTTATACCCTGACAGAGTCACCCCTCTCCCTATAGTCCCGTCCTCGGGACTGGTAAAAGCCGTGTGGGAGGGTAAAAAATTATCGTGAATCTTGTTGTCGCTTCTAATCCCAGGGTATATATTCGTTAGTGTAGCTATCCTGCTGCTATTTTATGGTAAGATATATTTCGCTTATATCCTCTAGCCTTTTAGATAGCCTCGTAATTAGCTTTATTGCTAGCCTCGTCGTTAATATCATCGTAGCCTTATAATAAAGTATAATAATAAGGTAAGCCTCCTTACTGGCTATTTTGTTGTTTTGTAGTTTCGCTATTGCAGCTACCTTATTGTTGTAGCTATTTTGTCGTTGCGGCTACCTTGTTGTCGATATCCTTATAAACTCGATAGTAAGGTGTCCCTCTAGCTATTTCGTTTCCTAGCCTTATTGCTAGCCTTATTGATGAATATAGCCTCATCTTCAACCTCGCTGCTGCTTCTACCCTTGCTACTAGCCTAATCGCTACTAGCCTCGTCATCTCTTCTAGCCTCGTTGCTAGCCTCGTTACTGGCCTTTCACAGGGTCACCTGCGATCGTATCGGGAGGTCCCCTGGCTATTCTCGAGCCTCGTCAAAAGCCTTATTAAGGGCCTTGTTAAGAGCCTTGTCGTCTCCTAGCCTTGTTATTGATATAAGGTCACCTGCTACCTTGCTAGATGTCTCCTGGCTATCCTCGAATCAAGACCTTGGCAGTACCCCCCTTTCAAGCCTTGTTTCTCTATAACGGCTACATAATTTTCTATTTGTTTACCATCGAGTTACCGGCGACCGTTCCGGGAAGCCTCCTAGCTATCCTCGAGCCTTGTTAAGGACTTTCGGCAGTATCTCCTTTCCGGGCTCGTTTCTTCCCGTGTGGCGACCACGCGGTTAGCCTACCACAAGGTTATCTGATATCGTACCGAGACGTCTCCTGGCTATCTTTGAAAAAGGACCTTGGTAGTACGCCTTTTCTGGCCTTAGCCTCCCCTGCGGCGACTATACAGCTAGTTTTTATAGCCGAGATATCAAGGCCTTTCAGCCTTGTCAAGATGACTAATAGGGATCCTAGAACGTAGCCTAATAACCACGATTACAGGTCTCTCAACCTTATCAAAGTGACTAGTAAGACCCTAATAAGGCCTTAAATATAGTTAAGATAACAAAGTCTTTCGACCTTATTACAATAACCAATAGGGTTCTAGGACGTAGCCTAATAGCCACAATAATAAGGTCTTATAACCTTGTTAAGATAATTAATAAAGCTTTAAAACGTAACCTAATAACTATAATAATAATAAAGTTTCATAACCTTATTAAAATAATTAGTAAAACTTTAGAACGTAGCCAAGGCAATTAGTAAGACTTTTGCCTTATCCCCTTAACTGGCATAAGACTACAACCCCCCCTGTAATCGGTATTGTACAAAGTCAGCCTACAACATGCGCGTAATAGATCCACCTTTATTTAGACCCAAGGCCTTTGATTGGCCGGAGGCCCCTCATGATCGATGATACGAAAGGATACGAAGCTGATTCCTTAAAATTTTACCTTTCTTTCAACATTACTTTTTTCAAAATAGCCTCAAATTGCTGTATGTCGACGACCTTGTTTCTAGCCCGCTTTTGACGTATTGTCGTCGCTTTTGATGTCCCTCGATAGCTAAATGGCCTTGCAACACCCTAATATCGATGATATCGCTGCTTAGCTTGGCCTGGTTATTATATAAGGTGATAAAACAGACCTTGCAACTAGACAACCAAGAGCCTGTGCTAACTTTAATATAGGTACGTATGCATTTTAAGCCTTAAATAGCCAAGCTATTTGATAGTCCTATTTAGAAGCCTGTTCAATTATTAGGGGATTGGATAGATATATTATTAGAAATACATAGGGTTGGGGGAGTACGGATTCGATATTGAGGCTCGTTAGAAAGGCTTAAAAACAACGTTAAAAGGTGGTAACACCGTTAGCGTATTAGGCTTGTAAAGGCAACATTATTTGGGGACGACCTTGTTAGGGACAATATTGCCTCGTTAGGGACGACCTTGTTGGGGACTGATTGATTTACATAAATGAAAGGGTTTTGAATAGCCTCACTTATAGACTAGGTAGCTATTTGTAACTCGAAGGAATGCTGGTACAACTGGCATAGGCTAAATTAGGTGTAAAATCAAGTAGCTCGATTTCATTGATCGATAGCCTTAGAATTAGATTATCTCGTATGTAGTACTGTATTAAAAATAGTGGAGGTGTAGTTTTATGCCAGTTAAAGGGATAATTATAGGGCCTTGTCTTGGCTATAGTTTTATTTATTGCCTTGTCCCTGGTTCTTATCTCGTATATGTGGAGCCTTATTTCGGCTATAAAACTTTATTTATAATAGCTATTACGTTGCCCCACAAGTTTCTAACGGGGTCCCTATTCATCAAAATAACTTCCTGAATATAAGGTGGCAATACTTAACCTCGAGGCCTCCTAGGAGGTCGTTGGTCCCCTCTAATAGCATCCCTCTCTTTCTCGTACTACTTCGTCGTTATAGCTACTCTTACAAGTCGCTAGGATGCTAAATGTTATTTGGTGGAGATGTTGCTTGAAGCAGTTAAATAAGTATTCTGCTGCTTTATTTATATGGCAAAATACAAGACCCTTAAAAGATTCTGGCTTGATCTTTACTTAAACAGGCAATTTTAAATAATTTTTATCATTCCGAAAATACGAGGCATGTATTTTTCCATAATATTTTGAATGTCTTGATACTTCGCTCTTTTAAGTAACATTTCCACTAAATAACATTTAACATCCTAGCGACTTGTATGATATCGTCGTAATCACCCCCTCTCTCTCGTCGTAATACTTTCTTTCGAATCGTAACTATCTGTCACACAACTAATACGTACTGAATAGGCGTTATATGAGGTCTAATTCATCATCTATCTGATGATCTGATTGATTGAGATAAAATCGTGGGAACGCGTGTTACACCGCTATTTTACATGAGACTAGGGATTTTCAGGTCACCTGACATGGCTGACTAATCTGACAGGAAGTCGCCTTCAAAAGTTCTGACCATACCGAGCGCCTGTCAGCTTTGGCCGCAGCTGTCAGGCAGCCTGCCCCACCTGGCAATCTAAAGTCGTAAAGTATATTAAAATATATCTGTTGGGATATTGGGAATAGGCAATTATGTAATCTAGTCACGTGCTATCACGTGCGTGGGGCTAAGCCCTTTTAGGCTTACCTTTTAGGCTAACCCACACACACACAACTCAACAAGAGACAACAACAGATCGTGATAACCTCATTTCAGTATTGTGTTTCGTTTCCTTTCTTAACCCTTACCTTGTCTCTCGACAATATCCTCTACTATACATATCACCATATAACTAAAAATATTAAGAAAATATAATAGCTTAACTGTATTATAGTATATATTTTAATAAATTAGCTTTTATATTCGAAGTGTAATTAGTAAATCAAAGTACAGTATATTTGGAGGTACATTTGTTATTATGGCTGCCAGTTGCTGCCAAGCCTTGTCAAGCTGATAGGGGCTGGCCTATGGACAAAACTTTTGAAGGCGACTTCCGTAGATTGACTCCTATTGCCAATGTAGCACTGCTCGAGGCTCTCGGGGTCTTCTTCAATAATCATGCACCCCCTTAACTCGTCGGAACTGTAGAACCGCTTCGTGTTGGCGTAGTCGTCGTCCTGGATTTGAATCTCGCTTGGATGATCGAAATAATTCATGACCGATAAACGATTGCGCCCACCAACGAGCACTGAATCCCAAGCTTCCTCGTCGGCAAACTCATGCCGCAGGCCTAGAATGTGTCCAAATTCATGGTAGAGGATATTAGCCATATACTCATGAAATCGTGCGTTCTTGTCGAAGCATGGTGCATACACCTGTAGTTGCCGTTTCGGCGGAGAGTCGCCAGGGAAGAACGCTTCTGCAAATAGTCTTGGGTCGGGTCGGCAGACGCCGGCGTATGTGATCTGGAACACAGCCGGCATGTTTTCCGTGACTCGCTGAAATCTGATGCCAATTTCGCCTTTGTTCCACTCCATAGCCGCCTTTTCAGCGCTCGCGATGGTATGCTCGTATGATTCGTGGTCATCGTTAAAGCTCTCTGACTTGACACTAAATGTAATCGTAGATCCCCATTTCCACCGGCATATGCAGCGCGGTCCTCCGACATGGATGAATAAGCTACGAACAGAGCTTGACTCTGTTTTACAAAGACGATGGGAACATCCTGACTGTATTGTAGAAGCTTTAGAAGCTGAGAGATGTTCAAGGTCGTCTTTTACCCCCTTGGTAGCATTTGTAGCGTCCGAACTAGGCTTGGTACCAGGATCATCGAGATTGACTTCATTGATTTGAATATCATCCACCGAGGTCTGCAAGATTGAAGGGCTATTGTTGAGATCGAAGGACGCTTCAAAGCTAGGGTCGCAGATAGTGGTAGATGTCGACCCATCAGCTTTGAAAGATTCTATAGGTGTAGTAGTCAAAGTAACCTGTAAATTAAGAGCGACGGTTAATTATATAACAAAAGCGAGAGGCTTAAGGAATTTCAACTCTCTTACTCGGCGGAGATCTTTCTCGTTTATAATCTTACCACATGCAACTTGGCTATTGTCATTATTAATCACTATTTGGATGGCATCACTGGTTAAGGTAGAGAGTGTCCGCTCATCTATCGCAGTATTGATACAATGTTTATCCTTGCTGAGGGCTGTAGTGAGATTGTATAAAGGAGGGTCAGTCCTATCCCTAACCACTGATTAATGGTTAGTTCTTTTCCCATAAAACGGGGTGAGATTTAAAAGAAACAATAATGTTCTTCAGAGTGTAAATGTAAAACTCCGTAATTTATAACGATAGCGAGTTATATGCAGAAGCCGAGAGAGCACTACTTACTGGAAAGCATATTATGTACTTGATGTTTTTGATAGCAAATTGATCTTAGGCTAGTAATAGGTTGCTTAAACTAAGAGATAAAGAACTAGGTAAGATAACTAGTAGAGAAAGAAACGCGGAATTTATATAAAAATCTACATACAAAATTTCGATTATACGAAAGGTATTGAAGCTACACCTAGCTACCTACATCGGTAATCAGAGGCGCAGACAGTGTTGTAAACACCCTGTTCGGTCATTCAATCATATTCCATCCAATCATATTTCTCCATTGTCTTATAGTAGATGTACGCCAAGTAATGCAAGACACCGCCTAGCCAATAGTCGCTAACTTCCGAACAGTTGGGGGGCCGCAATCATCCAACTTTCCAGCCAAGTACTGGTGTTTACATATTCAGCCTTACATACCCTTTTTACGGCATGAAACTTGCAACCGTTCGGAACCTACGACTACCTAGCTGATCGCTTAAGTTCAAGGTACTTATGAATCGATAATATCAATCGAGTAGAATTAGGTATCTTGAATATTTTGAGAAAAACAAAATGCCCTCCGCATGGCAACTAATCAAATAGCCAAATGCTGCAAATGCACGCGTCAATGGTATAATACAAGGTATATCAAATCATGCCAAACCAACTGTCTTCTACTCTGCAAGTTTTTTTTAAAGAAAAATATAACTATCCATCTAAACATTACGGCCTAGTCGATAGAAACCCACGTAATTCCGAGACGCCAACCTGCGGGGTCACACTATATGCCGGTTTCTGCATATAAAATGTGATTTACTCTTTGGCCCATTGCTGATTACTAGCCTCCGCAGGCTTATCAACTCCATCAATGGATGGGTCTTCAAGAGATGACCTATTGATCACTCTCAAGGTCCGTTGAGATCGCCTTAAGCTTGGAAGGGATGAGGTTCTGGACGGGAACTGTTGCTCGTCACCGCTTTCGTCGATTGCGGGCGGTGTAGTGGTGATCCGAGTGTTCTACATCACGGAACACTCGCCCTCTTGTTGTTTGCCGATTTTACTTCGGGAGATGCGTTCGCGTTGACGAGGTCCGCTCCTGCCAGATCGTTTTAGATCTTCCAGGCGCTCGCGAGCCTTGGGAAAATCCTGGCCTATACAATCGTTAGCTTGCTAGTTTACCCCATGTGTAGACTCAGAATAAATAGTTAAGAGAAAACTCACTTGCTGCTCTCCAGTACCATCGCTTGGCATCCTCGAGATTTGCAGGCACGCCGATGCCAACCTCGGTGAAATAGCCCATTGCGTACTCCGCTTTTGCTAATCCAGCCTGGGCTGCCTTTCTAGCCCATAAATATGCTTCGGTATCACTTTGCTGTAAGACACCCTCGCTCCCTGTTAGATACCATCCGCTGAGAGCCAGTTCGGATTGGTGTTCCTCTTGCGTGGCAGCTCGGCTGTACCACATGATAGACAGTCGTGGATCGACAGGACATCCCATTAGGCCATATTCGTAGGCACATCCCATCCTAAACTGGCTGAACTTATACCCGAGCTGAGCTGCCTGTTCGAACAGCTGCAGGGCATATGCTTCATCGCGTACTATTGCATCATTCGGTTGCGCCGACTCATACAACAATCCCAATTCGTGTAGCGCATGAGGATTCTCCGGGTCTGCACGTTCTGCTGCTCGCTTCAGCCATCCAACAGCCTCCCTCGGGTTCTTAGGCTGACCAAGCAGTCCCTTTAGCATGATCATTCCAACCTTATACATCGCGGGAGTATCACCGAGCGTCGCAGCGCGCTTATACCACTGGATCGCTTTCAGCGGGTCTTTCCGTGTGCCACCTCCTTCGTCGTTGCCGAGCTCGCAGCAGACGGCTGTCCGATAAGCTGCCGCGGCATTTCCCAATTTCGCTGCAGATTGGTATAGCGTGAACGCTTCCTTAGGATCCGAATCGCCGAACATGCTACGGCCTATGCAATCCGCAAAAAAGAACATAGCATCCGGGTTTTGAGCACTAGCAAGTTTCTTTAAAATTTTATGCGCATCCATCACGAAACGTTCACGGGATCTGGCCCTGGCTTTCTGGTCAGGGAGCCTAGGAACCAAGACATCCGCCGCTTCGACGAGTTTCTTCGCTAGCGTAAGAGCAGATTGCTGATCGTTCGGATCACTCTTAATAACAGCCCGTAGGCGTTCCAGCTCCTCGGGTGTGACGGGAGTCTTTTCGGCAACGGAGGCTGGCCGCCCATTCTGCGGGGGTGGGGGGAGCCTGCCTTGCGGTCCAGCGGTAGCGGGTGGCGTATCAGCACTGTAGTTACGAACCGGGGGCGGCTTGTCATTCATGTTCACCATGGAATTTGGCATCAACCCAGGCCTAATGGGTGCTGGATGTCCAGAGCCTGGTCCGCCTTGGGGGGTTCCTTGAGAACTACGTCTCATAGCGTTGGGAGCGGCAGGCAGACCTGGGCCGGCACTTGGGGGCTTATATGCTTGGAATCCACCTGGTGGTACCGGTGGCATATCGCCAACCATTTCGAAAACCGCTGCTTGAGGCTCGCGCAAGTTTGGTTGCGACTTGGCCCTAGACACTTCAGGCTGGCGCGCAGGCCCGGGCTGGTGCAACCCGGGTTGGGCAGGACGAATATGCTGATCGAACGATTCTCGCGGATTCTGGGAAGGAACCGCATCAAAATCTGGGATTTCCTCGTGGTATTGATTTCCATGCGGACCATGCGGACCATGCGGACCAGGTGGACCAGGAGGATACTGTTCTCCGCTTACGCTCTGGTCGTAGTAGGTGTCATAAAATTCGCCAAAGGAACCTCGATCTGGCTGGTCGTTCCATCCAGGGGGCTGCAGTGACCCATTTTCATACGGCCTCGGAGGTCCTTGAGGTCCTGGAGGTCCCGGAGGCCCTTGAGGTGCTGGGGGGCCTTGGTCGGGATACATCCTCTGGGGTGGCGGTCTGTTTCCTGAAGCGGTCGAAGGTCGAGGAGGGGGATAATTGCGCCCAGGAGGGCCGTTGTAAGATGCGCTGTCCATACGCGGCGGCGGCGGCGGCATGGCGTTTCTCATATAATCATTATTTGCGGGCATCGTCATACTCCTTCCAGGCGGTCCAAATCCTCCATCCCTAGTAGGAGACATCGGGGGACCGTAGCCATCATCTGGATAGCCATAGCCTTGATCACCTGGTGGTGGGCCTCGTCTTGGATCCGGATATCCTTGTGGTGGCGGCCCTCTCCCTCCCCTTTGACTATCCATAGATGGGCGTCCATAATCATCCATTGTTGGCGCTCGCCTAGGTCCCGGCATAGATCCCGGTCCTCTAGCTGGCCCTGAAGTACTTTTAGGAGACATGCCCGGCCTCCCTCCGTTCAAATCCATCCCACCCATTCGGTTTAGGACATCATTCTCTTCGTCAAGATCCGTTCTTCTGTTATGTCCTGGGAATACTGGGAATGGGCTACCAAAATCTTGCTCGCTCGGGCTTGCAATGTTCGGGCCGTAACGATCTATGGTATTAATTAGTTATAATATCTAAACCTATAAAAATTTATCTTACCATTCTGATCTGAAGAACCAGCGCGGTCTGGAGGCCCTGGTCGGCCACCTCGACCAGGAGGCGGATAACCTCTGCCGCCGGGACCTCCAGGACCTCCAGGGCCACCACCACGAGGAAATGGAGGCCCACGCATCGGACCTCCTCTTCCACCAGCACCGGGTGGGGGAGGACGACCGCCTCTACCGGAAGGACCATACATATCTTGCGGAGGGTAACCTTGATTGGGCGGCGGTGGCCGTCTACCATAATTCATATCTTGAGGCGGCGGACCGTAGTCCTGCTGATAGCCGTTGTCATATCCATCGTATCCGTGGTCGTAGTCATCTTGGTATTGGTTGTATTGTTGCTGTTGTGGTGGATATCCATCCCTTGGGGGGCCTCGAGGTACTCGTGCTGCCGGTCCTGCGTAAGGGCGCTGCTGATCTTGATATCCGCCATTGTATGCCATGTTTGCGACTCGAGGCTCAACGTTTTCCCACTTGCCAACGTAAGATGCCACAAATTCTCCAGAAGCTAGCGTTTGATATACTACTAAGCCGTCTCCTCAGCACCGCCTTGTTCCTTTCCTATATAGTAGTGGACAGCAGAGTGCGATGGTCGAAAAAGGTTGGTATGTAACAAGAAGCTGTATTCGGCAGCGTAAAAAATCGAGTATAAGTCGAGGCTCTAGGCTGTCGCAAGTGCTAGGGTTGTTAAGCCGTGGGTCTATTTTGGTACCTGAGTTGTTGTGTTTCGGCTCAGTAATGATCGTCGGTTTCGGGAGGCCAGCGTATGCAAAAACGCGGCGAGTCTTGGGCTTGGGATTGGTTGGCAAACTTTGTCCGAGACACGCTGTAGGCTTGAACTTTGATGTTGCTGTACGATCTTACACCTCACATAAGATTGAGTAGTGAATTACTCGGATGTTAATATACACAGTACTGTTCTCGAATGAAGGGATGAACCGTTTCGGAGAAGTTGTGATTTGGTAAAGAAAGGCGACAAGCTAGCGCATTATATAAAGTGAATGCGATGTCTGAATTGAGGGACTGTTTGTTTATTTCCATCAATGTGAGCGACGAAACCTTATATCCTTTACATCTCAAATCGGTAATAAGGCGTCGGTAGCTTGGCAATAAAGTTTTGCCCAGAGGTTTAGAGGAAAGGGAACAGGACAGCGAAGCTTTCGCCAATAAGTCAACAATGATGGGAATAAGGAATAGGTGAAATAAGTTTTGATAAAAGGAATGTATTTAGAGTTAGCGAAAAAGTCGCAGAACAAGCATTACCCTTTTCAACAGAGTCAAGAGAGACCAGTTCCCTAGTATTAATTATTTCTGCTCTGCAGAGGGTGGAAGAAGAATTATGTATGAATAAATACCAAGGGCGATCCTTTTGGGGGATTGGTACCTTAAAGAGATGTGGAAATGCGAAGTCGAGACGATTCGGCAAATCGGGGGTACAAGGAGACTTTGAGGATCCTAATAATATTATGAAAGTAGCACTGCAACCACTGATAACTTTAGCGTCACAACTGCCCCTCTACGTCAAATGGCAGGTGCACGGTTAACATATCCGGGTCTAAGTGGGATGTTCACGCGCTAAAAGGGTACATCTACATGTATGTACCTCAGGTATGGGGTTATGTACCTAATATGGTATTTTTGTTGGGTAAAGCTACATCTTGTCTTTATGATCAATTGTAGGTCGTATTTGCACCATACATACATACCTCCGTAGGTACATGTAGTAAGCACGAGCACCTGCATTGAACAATTAGGTAGGTACATTAGGTTAGGTACATATATGTATTTGAAGCTATTCTCCTCTACAATTACAACTTAGGGGATCAGGAGGCCTGAAAAATGGATTCCATCTCGTACTTTACATCTTATCTGATCTTTCTATCCCTCTATTTTTAATCGACCTGTGTGTACCCGATCGAAGGAGTATCAATGTTGATATGTAGATACATAATGTACCCATGTCAGTGGCTGTTTTAACTTCAGCCGGCTTCAACAATGTTAGCCATCTCGCTCTTCTCTTCCTATGGTTTGTCCATAGTTAAAACAAGGATGGGTACACAACAGCACACGCTGCACACGGCGCTTGCGCTAGTAACAAACACTCGTTGCCTACAACCTGCAACCTGCAACGTAAAAGTGTTGATTAAAACTCTAAGAGACATCTATCAAACTTAGCTGCATCTGCACGAGCAATGCTAATATAGAAATAAACCTAGTATTATGATTCTACAACACATACGCACATATGTTTTTCATATGCCAAGCAAAGTTACAGTATCAAAATCAACTAGGGCTGAACTCATAGCAGCACCTGATTGGCTTGCTGATCCCATCGGATACCTCACAGAGCAAAGCCAGCCTCATCCGCCCCCTGTTAGCATGAACCGACTTGTCCACTTGTAATGCCGGGAACCGGGTGAAGTCGCTCAAATGCCACAGATTCTGAAATGCGAAAATTGGAACACGTCTTTAATATTTCAGAGATGGATTTAACTTCCATAACAGCCCATTACCTACATGCACCTGATATACCTTATACCCATATCTAATGTTGATTGATTGTGTTTGTTTCATGTTTGCTTTTTATGTAACTATTTCAGCTTATAAGGTGCTATACATATGTCATAGGTACCTGTGTATCGAGCCGCCGGGAGGATCCGACCCGGTGAGCGCTTTGGAATGGAAAGGAAACGTGCTTTAGCTGCGGTTGGGCGGGTTAAAAACGTACAAATAATATAGCAAGTACGCGCTGGTTACCATTCATTAGACGATAGGTACCTACCTATCAATTATATCCTATGTATGTAAAGTGCGGCTAAGATTCAATTCTCATGTACATAGGTAGGTAACTAAAGTTATCGACATGTATTTGAAAGTTTGCGATCCAATAGGAAGGAGAGGATTTATGATAGCCATACCCCACTAGGTTAGCCACTTCAAATTATGTAAGAGAGGACCCTGGACAATGAACTTTCGTCATCGACCATTAAACCGTACCCAAGCAAAGAGCACTTTTAACTTGCCAGGGCCTTTTCCAAGACTTTACCCACGCCAACTATATACCACGAGCCTAACCAAACAACAACGAAACTCATAAGATGGCAGTTAGGTCAGGAAGGTTCGGGACATGGCTCAAAATGCTTGCTGTGTAAGTAAGCGCGTTCTAATGCATCTACCCACCTGGTCTATCTTAAAGCAACTATACAGTCACCAATCTCAAAAAGTAAGCGCCGCATGACTAACCTACACGAATCCACAGCGGCGGCGTAGTTTGCGTAGGAGGCCCCGCGTTCGTCATGTGGGTACAGCCGACCGACGAGGAACTCTTCAAGAAGTATAACCCGGAACTGCAGAAGAAGAGCTTGGAGCGGCGGTACGAAAGGCAGAAGGATTTCGATGACTTCGTGACTCAACTCAAGGAATATTCGAAATCAGATAAGCCAAGTACGTGCGATATCCTTTCAGTCCCGATTCAATGTCGAATCTACCCCGCGCAACACAGCTGTCTTGACGATATTGCGAGGGGAGACGGGATTTATACATGCGCGTACTAATACAATGACAGTATGGGTGGTACAGGAAGAAGCCGCACGAAAGCGAAAGGAAGAAATGTTGCGACAAGACTTCCTAGGTGCCGAAGAAGCGAAGGCGAGAAAAGAGGCCTTGAGGAAGGAGTCCGGACTATCATCTAGTTCTAATAGTTGAATAATACCGCCTGTATGATTTACGAAGTATCATTGAAGTACCATTGTATTATAAGATACTGGAACAGAATTTTGAAAGGGAAAAAGCTGGGGTCAAAAGGCATGATAATAAGGCGTTTGGACAAAAATCGGGCGCAAGTCGTTTGCGGGTTGTGATGTATTTCTACCTGTATAAACGATCATGAACGCCTATCAATGTTTAATCATGCAAATATGTATGATACTATTTACGAGTTTATCTATCTAGAGAGACTTTTATGCTTCAAGACGTGCAATATTCGTGTCGACCAGGTCTTGAATCTGTTTCCACCTCTTAATCAGAACCTCTTTTTGCTGCGGCTCGCCAACATCTAGTGACTGCGCCTCGGATATCCTCTTTTCAGCAATGTGCCTCTGTTCCCTCAGCAGCTCCAAGACCAAACGATCTACGTTCTGCTGACTGCGCTCCCCATCGTCGATCCCATCCACGAATCTCTTCCACTCCCTAACTCCACAGCATAGCAACCTTGCCGCGACCTGTGTCCTATGGCATACCGTCTCCCGGTCCAAGATGTATTTCCCCAGAAATCCGACTTCCTCTAGTCTTTCCTTCTGTCGTTCGCTCAATCTCGAGAGCAGCACTTCGTCGAGTAAAATCTCGTCCCATCGATTCTCATCCATGACGAATCCGTATTCGACAAGTAGGAAATCTCCACTATGTCTTCCATAGCAAATCTTAACCTCATCTCCCTTTGCATATGCGCGTGTGGCCTTAATAGAGAACCCCTCGTCATCAAACGCCACGTTACAACCTCCGGTATCGGTGTGGTTGAACAGGTCCGCAACGGGCTGCAGGCACATGTGGTCGTCTTTGGATCTCTTTTTCAGTTTGGCGTTGACGTAGTAAAAGGTTCGCGTGTTGACCAGCATCCACGCATGCCTGTACCGCGCTTCGTCCAGCTGCTCAGGGTATGCTGCCGAGACGGCAGCCCAGTCGAGCTTGAGTTTAGCTTCCTGCTTCAACAGCAAGTCTCGTGCCGCTGGGGGTAGTAAAGCACGTAATCCCTGTGGCCATACTAACGGCATACCAGCGAAGTCTTCGTGAGTCGGACATAATGCGTTCCAGATCGCGTACTTGGAAGATGCATCCAGAGCTAGATCGGCAGCTAGAAGGCCATGGATCGAGATGGCCTTTGGGAGATGGCGGATGATGGGCTTGTGAACCGTGTCTATACTACGGATGCAAGACGTAGGAACATCAAGGATAATCTCCTCGGGCTGTGGGCTATGTTAGTTAGTAGTCTTAAGAGCAACCCACAGCACAGCGGAATAGACTATAACAGACCTTGATCGCCCGAGTTGCAACTATGCCGATGCCCCTACCAGGGATACGTTTAGGCTCGATAGCATTAAGCTTAACGCCTTTATCTATCGCCCAAGCGAGGAGCTCTTCGTGTAATTCCATGGTTATATACCTGGGCACCTAAAGTTACGAAAAAGAATTCAAACAGATGAGTTCGTAAGGAAGGTAGATAACAAGAACGTGGTTATGAATAAGACTATAACCGGCCCTATCTGCCATGACTATATATCGAAACTTGAAAGCATAGTTGACATAACAGCTTTAGCAAACATTGAGTTGGCGATGGTGCAGGCGTAACTGACAGCAGAAAAAGATGGAAGAATTTTGTGATCCCCAACTCCGGTACTTATACAGGAATTTGCGAAACCAATAGATTAACAAGTGAGAGGTAACATGATATAGTCACAGTATAGAATCAATGATATATAACGAATGGTATATATGTATTTTAAATTGTTACCGGTGACTACCACGTTATTTCTCTATTTGTATCTGTTATGATTTATTAGTTTCTCTTTATCATCCAGCTTTTTTTAGGTACAATACTCGCAAATGTACCTGAGCCTATATTTAAATGAGTATTTAGGACGAGATATTTTTTAAGTTATCACTTGTATCCGCTTTATTTGATACGCGCACTATCTCATCAACTTTGCTACATCAATCATGATATTCCGAGTTTGTCATCCAAGTAGAAATAGAAAACAATATGATGTGCCGGACGGAGATGTGACCGGCTGCAATTCTTCTTAAGTCCGGGGTAAAAGCCGATAACATCTCGGGTGTTACACCATGTACTAATAAGTAATATTGAAGTCAATGATAAGGAACACCCCACCATAACGTGTGTACCTCTTACGGAACTTCGGTGTCGTCATATAAGTTTCAGGGCCTTACCTCTGAACCTATTCTGGCAAGACCAACCTATCAATTCCGTAATTTACCTAGGTTAGGTACCTAGGTTAGGTAAACAGTTTTCTGCTGGTTTAGAGCTTCCTTCTTTTTGATCTCTCCATCCAGCGTCGCACCACCGAGCAAGCAATCGGAGGGGATACCGGAGATATATCGGTGGGACAATCACACTAACACAATCTACCGACGTATCCATTCTATAGCGATTCCAGTCTAGACACGATGAGTAGCTCAAGATCGACATCAAGGTCGGGAGACCTGGAGGCGCATTTCCCGGAGTATTTTGTCGACGCCGAAAATGATGAAGCCGAGCATGATCCCGAATACGAAGAAAACGAGGAGGAGGAGGATATAGATGAAGATGACATGGAACACGACTTATTCGAGGATGAAGATGAGTTTCATGGTATGCGAGACTCGCGAACGAGTTAGAAGCTCTACAGCTAGCTAACAAATACACGCCCAGATGCCGAAGAGGGGAACATCCAATTCGTAGTGCAAGTGGGAGACGACGATGAAGAAGGCGGTAATGGAGAAGGTTCGCAATTGCCCGATGCTGAGAGGGTAGCTGTACAGCAGCGCCTAATCAACTTAATAAGTAGTGCGTCCCAAGCTACTAGAAACCGATCAATTGTGAGCTGACAGCTGATGTATAAACAGGTCGCCGTACCGGCTTACTATCGCAACGACAAGTCCTAGATTTCCTTCAAAGATCAAACCTCGGTCACTTGGTATTTGGCGATGGCGAAGATGACGACGATAATGAGAATAGCTTCGGGTACCGGAGACGGCGGCGCGAACTGGACCCGGATAGATTCCCTAAAGTCCCAAGTGACGAAGGGAGAAGTCTGATGAACTCCGGAACGTTCGGCGCGAATGAGAGTCAGTCTCCTATTAGCTCAAAGAAGCAAATAGCTCGCCGGATACTTGATCGCGAGCTTGGCATAGGGAGTAGGAGGTCTCGCCAGATCAACCAAAGCATGATGGCGCAATCTATGATTCCCAGCTCTGATGCCGAAATGATTATCAATTACGACGATAATGTCTACTCGGGCCAATTCTCAGATGATGGCAACTTTTACTTCGCTTGCGTTAAAGACATGAAGGTTCGGATGTACGACACTTCTAACCCGTATAGCTGGCGGCATTACAAGACAGTACCGTTTACTTTCGGTTCTTGGACCTTGACAGATGCATCTCTAAGTCCGGACAACAAGTGGTTAGCATACACTTCGATGCAGAGTAATGTCTGCTTAGCACCGACTGATCCGAACGATACGGGTGATCCATACATGTTGAATTTATCGGAAAACGGGAGGGTAAACTGGCGTGGCGAATTTGGTATCTTTTCGATTCGGTTCTCTGGCGACGGACGGGAGCTAGTCGCTGGAACAAACGCAAGTTCTATCGTCGTATACGATATCGAATCGCGTCAGGTGTTGCATACGATAAAGGGCCATGATGATGATGTTAACGCGGTTTGTTTTGCGGATAAGTCGTCACCTCACATCTTATACTCAGGTAGTGACGATGCGACGATTAAAGTGTGGGATCGACGGAGCATGGGAGACGGACGAGAGGCCGGCGCGTTTGTCGGTCATATTCAGGGCCTAACGTATCTGGATAGTAAAAACGATGGCCGATACCTACTAAGCAACGGCAAGGACCAGAGCATGAAGCTTTGGGATCTAAAGATGATGTACACAACAGCGCGGTTCCAGGAACTGAATCCGCGGCAACACACACGATACACCGAGTTCGACTACCGCTGGGGCCGGTTCGACGATGCCGACTGGTTCCCACATCCAAATGATAACTCGTTGGTAACCTTCCGCGGGCATGAGGTACTGCGTACCCTAATCCGCTGCCACTTCTCGCCGCCCGGTAGCACCGATTCGCGCTATGTGTACACAGGTAGTCACGACGGCAAAATCTACATATACAATATGGATGCTACCATTGCTGGTATTATCGACGTTCAGAAGTCTACACAGGCATTGCCTCAGACTGGCGCCGAGCGCAGGTCCTACGGCGGGTATAGATCTCAAGGTTGGTCGACAGTTGTTAGGGATGCGAGCTGGCATCCTACTGCCCCTTTTATTGCTGGTAAGTCTAAGTTTATATATATATATATATTTCCGTCCCCCATTTTTGGGATTGCTGGGTTGGAGGCTAACTCTGAGAAATAGCATCGTCACTGAATGGCTGGGATAACGCCCTAGGTACGGTCACGTTGCACTCATATAACGAGTCCTCGATGGATGAGGCTGAACCACGTATGGGTACACGGTATGATGAGAAACTGAGGCCGATAGGCTCCGGTCGTCGCCCTAGAGGATATCCCGATGCAGAGGACGATAATGAAGAAGATGAAGATATTTTCACCTAACGAATTTGAGACGAATAGTATGGACTATGAACGGGGATTTTCTCGGAGCGACATATCCTCTCTGCTTTTCCGGCCATTATGCTTTTAATTTGGCGGTCTCATTTTTATATTTTATCAGACACCAACTTATGAACACATTGGACGAGGCGTTTGAGTTTTCAAGGGACTTGGGGGGGGGGGGGGGGGCGATAAAAAAAAAGGCGCACTGGCATATTTTACAAAATTTAGCTAATTTTAAAAAAGCAAGGAAAAACAAATTTTAACAATGGCCGATAGAGAT